AATTGAGACCCTGTTCTCATGACTATTCACGAGAGACTCAGTCATGAGTCGAACTCAAACCCTATCTAGGATCGAGTCGCGAATAAGGCTAGGAGCCGTGTATTGCACCATTGTCTTCCAATCGTCTACCAATCCACCATCTACCGCTACCAATCCACACAACAAATGACAACACTACTACAACAACAACAACTACTACTACTACTACTACTACTACTACTACTACTACTACTACTACTACTACTACTACTACTACTCCCTTGATTGCTGAGCTATTTTGCCTTGAAGTCAGTGCCTACTTCGGTAGGGGCAAGGCTCTTGGCAATAAACAGCTAGCATTATCCTACCGACGCTTCTTCCTCTACGGTCTTCCTCTACCGACACCACTACCGACCCACTACTGCTGCGCTATTTTGCCTTGAAGTCAGTGCCTACTTCGGTAGGGGCAAGGCTCTTGGCAACAACAGCTAGCATTATGGTGAAGTACTCCAAAAGCCGTGAGGGTCGAGTCTTTGGGTTTGGTGTCACCCATATTCCTACCAAGAAATCAGAATCATCGTCTACCAATCCACCGATGACGACCAACCAACGAGTGTTTGATGCCGCCTTCGGGCTACGCCGGAGGCTATTGGGCTACGCCGGAGGCTATTTCATTTTATTTTTCTCCCGTCAAATGTAAGGTTCCCCATGTTGACATCATTGAATTATTGTAAACCGGTAGTGGAGGAGAGGACTTCGGGCACGTACTAGTACTGTACCATATGGTTTCTGAGGATTCCTCCTCCAATACTGCAACCACTACAGCCAGCACAGCCTTTGTTTCCGTTCCTTTTCGTTTTCTAGAAGGTGGTGAGAGCCTTCGCAGAAGTACTCCCGAGGGAGGATCATGCAGTTCCAATCCACTGGTGGTAGTATCATCAACTCTGGGAATTAGAAACCACACAACCATGTAAGGTTGGGGTTACAGAGTTACAGCAGCCTCTGCTCCTTCTCGGTGGGCTCGATCGTACTGTAGAGCTCTGCTCGAGTGTACCTCTGTGCTCTGTGCTGTTCGAGTTTGATATCTAACTTCTCTTCATAGCAACAGTAGTTTCCATGTCACACAGTACCGGTATTAGTCTACGATAAGTATCAGTATCACGCACTACTACTGATATCCTGCAGTCTTCGTCTGCTGATATCCTGCAGTCTTCATCTGCGTCTGTTCCCAGTATCCTTCCAAAAATCCATTGTTCCATGGAGGACTCTCCTGCCCCTCAAATTCGCTCTCTTAAGAACAACAGGGCACCAGGGCACAACGTCAATGATGTGGTAATTCAAGAGACTGTCATTTCCACAGCTCTTGTTTTTATGGGAACAGATTTCTGGAAATTTACTGAGCATTCTGGCTTGCGGTATTCACTCCGAGTAGATTTGCTTCTGGCAGTACGAGAAGCCTCTGGTGTTGAGATTTCCTATAGCACCCTTCTTAAGTGGATATACTACTATCAGAAATATGGAATGACCATGGCAAGGAGCAGACGAAACTACGATCGTGCCACCATCAAAGGATTGCGAGGCAGAAAAGGTGGCAAATTCTCCCCACATCAAGATGAGATTCTTCTCAAGATCATAAGGGAGGAACCACAGCTCTACCTTGATGAAATTCAGGAACGCTTACTGAATAATACAAAGATCACTTGGCACACCACAACCATTTGGAGGCGCCTCCACCATCTTGGATATTCTCTCAAAACTGCAGTTTTCCGAGCCAAGCAGCAATCTGAAGAAGAGGTCAATATGTACCACAAGAGACTGGCAGATAGAGTGAAGCATCCCAGGCAACTAATTTACATTGACGAAACTGCTAGAGGGGCCAATGCTTCTAGGCGCAGAAGAGCCTGGTCCCCAAAAGGAATCACTCCCATTATTACAGCTCCCATGGAAAGAGAATTCGACAAAAGATACACCCTCATTGGTGCCTGCAATTGGGAAGGCTTTGTAGTGGAGGCATGCAAAATTGTAGAGAGAGAAGAATCAACAAATGATCCTAACCCAGACAGGGGAACTGTGGATGGCTGCCGCTTCGAAGATTATGTGAGACAGCATTTGGTTCCTGTCCTTGGGAAATCAGCTTTTGCCGAGCCAAACTCGATTGTGGTCATGGATAATGCCTCAATCCACATGTCAGAGACAGTGCGGGAACTGATTGAGAATGCTGGTGCTATGCTCGTCTACACCGCCCCTTACAGTCCAGAGTTCAACCCCATAGAGAATATGTTTGGAGAATACAAGAAATCACTCAAGCGGCACTCCTATGATCGCACCATAAATTGGTATGATGTGCATTTCTCTGCACTTCATTCTGTCAGTCCTGAAACTGCCAAACAATTCTTCAAGAAGTGTGAAGTCCCTGGCATGGCTGAATGGCTACAAGATCAGGAGGAAGAAGAGATGAATCTAGAATCTTGGGACTTTCTTCCACCTCCATTGGATAGCATTATGAGTCAACTATTTGACTAGAACGGGCCGGTCCATGGGATCAAAGCAGAAGATGCGACTCAACATGATGTTACAATACCGATACCAACAAAGCCACATGACAGCAGCCACACCACGGATAGCAGCCACACAACCAACACCAACAAAGCCACACGACATCAGCCGCAGGACCAACAGCAGCCACACGACCGACACCGACAAAGCTGCGGTCCCGAAGCCACACGTCCAAGGACTGAAACTATAGATCTATGTAATTATCTAAGGTAAATCCTCCTCAAAGTCGTCTCCTACTGGAGCAATTTCAGCCACGGAAATCACAAGCAAAATGGAATCTACATCCCTTTCTTTCGTTCTGGATCCTGAGGAAGCAGATCATATAGAGTTTGTGTGGAGGTTTCCTCAAAGTCATTCTTACTGGGAAACATGTACAGCACATCATCTGGATTGATGTTGCTGACCCACTGGAACTTGTAGGCATGAGTATCACCACTGCGAACTCCTGCTTTCTGCTGATAATTGAGGCTGTTGTACAGGGGACCACGGACATCGCGCTTGGTTGCGCCCTCATTGTACAAACTTGCCAGTTTGATTTCGTTGCTAATGGTCGCAGGGATATCCACAGAATAATTGCCACGTTTTGATTGAATACGGACAACTCGACGAAGAGGATTGCTGCCATCAGTACCTCCGTTGCTGCTGGTAGATTGGCCGGAATTGTTGTTGCCTCCTTGAATGGCACCAACAAGAGTGTTCAAAAATGCCGATTGTTGTTCACGCTTTTCAGCAATAAGCTGCTCTCGAGATTTTTTGTATCTGGGATAGGAGTATGGAATATTGGGATCGACTTTGAATTCGTCTCTTTTGGGTGTTTGCCCACAGAAACAAGAAGAGTCAAACAGCTGCTGTGGCAAGTCCAACATGCTAGGCCAAGTTCCGGGATCGTCTTGATCTAAATTGAACTTGTGGAACAGGAATTGCCCATCACTCTTTAGTCGCACAATGTGATCTTCCAAGAAATCCGCATGCTCATAGGTCAAGGCATGGTGCCAATCACAGTACCCATCTGAAAGAGCCACACATTTCCAAATAAACTTCTTGGCTTCTTCTGGATTTACCGATTGCTATAAGAATCTGCCAAGATGCTCAGTTGTAGGAACACAAGAGCTGGGAGGGAGATCTCTAGTGATGGAGATCTCCTCCACTGGCTGAAAGGCCAGCTCAAGGAGAGCTGGTTCAATGCTACCCGCCAATCACTGCTTCAGAGTACTTGGGGAGCTGGTTACATTGCCCTAGCACATACCACACAGGAATCTATCTACTGCAGGGCTGAGGGTGCTACTGGGTCTCAGGGGTTACTCTTTCTTTATTATCTTTCTTACTATAAGCTAAACATCATTACCACGATTTCACTCCAGTTGACAGAACTGGCTCTTTTGGAGAGGATATCCACAGTTGGAGATCCTAGGAGAGGACTGTTGGTCTGGAACATTCCAATGTATCTAGGCTGAAGGCTATGTATGCTCTGCAACACATAGGCATGCCTCAGCTATATACAAATTGTCACGTGGCTGCAATGCTGTGTGTACTGATTGACTGTACACGATGAAAAGCATTGTTTCCATCTGACTAAACCAGCACAGCTGTGGCGCACCCATAGAGGCTCCCATTGCTAATTTCATCGCTCCCCACCATTCGAGTCATCAAATGGGGGCGTCAACAAGCTTCTCTATGTCTGGGTCATTCCTCGACATTCCCACAAAGCTGGGAGCACCTGGTTCCTCAGTTTGGACCTTGGCTGTGACCTAATACAAGGTTAGCAGCCCTCTTGAATACTTCAAGGTGTCCATTGCTGGGTACCACTTGGAACAAAGGAAGGGACATCACACTTGTGATCTCAAACCCTCCAAAGTAGATGGCTGGCTCCAAGGCAAAGGCATTGGATTGCCATCGTTGTCCAAGAGAGAAAAGGTGTTAGGATCTAGGACGGACGTGGTGTGCGCAGAGGTACTTCTTGGGATGGACAATACACATCCACCTTGGGTTGGTCACGCGCGAAGGTGTGTGTGGAACATGCCTTGGGGTATCTCCCCATTCACAAGGAACCTATTGCACTTGGACGTCAGTAATGATCCCACTTGGTCTCCCCATGCTTGCACCATAGCTTGGAATTGGCTTAGAAGCCATCTGTTTGTCTCCCCATAAAGCTCAGAGGGGCAGAGACAAACAGTCAGTATTCATATTGGAATCAATACGTGGTTGACAAAACGTTACAACACATACATCTCAGGCAGAGATGAGTCTTTTGACACCACTGGTGGCAATAGACAAGTTGTAAATCACAAAACGGTATGCTTGAATCATGATGACAAATCTAGCAAGGGGACTTGTCATACGGTGCCGTTTCCTGCGGAAGGTAGCCCCATTATGGGTGGCATGCTACCCCGCAGACATGGGCGGTGCCTGGTTTCCTTGGGCTTGACCGGTGCAGCACGTACACTAGTCGCCCCATCAAAAATCCAGGTTGGGATTGGGCTTGGGCTTGCCCTTGCCCTTGAAGGCTTTGTCGTCTGCCATGGGAGAGTCCAAGGTGTCCCCGACTGCTGGGTCAGCTTCACTCTTGGAATCAACTACAGGCAGCGTCGAACCTATCAGGACTTGTCTGTCGGCATCAGAGAGCTCGCACCAGAGTTGGCGGGTGGCGGGCGAAAGCTTGAACCAATCTGTGCTTGGGGGTCCAAGGACTTGCTGCTCCCCATCACCGGTATTGCCTGGTTCCACATCAACAGTTCCTAGGTTGGCTAGTTGGATGTCGGGAACATGGCGGTTGACATCATAGTGGGTGGCGGCATTCTTGAGTGTCTCCTTGTAGGCTTCGTAAGTGAAGCGTTCTTGGGGACCATGACGGCACATCATTTCATGCTCACGGGACCTGATGTCGTTCAGGACTTGGACATCGGTGAAGGCACGCTGCAGGAACAGCTTCTGCATGCTGTCACTGAGCTTGTCGCTAGGATCTCGGTGGCCATCATTGTAGTGGGTGATGGTCTCGTCAAACTTGATGACAAAGTCAACAGCAGAGCCTTGCCTTGGACTGTACTGGACACTTGAAAGCCAATGGAGGACCTCAACATGGTCCAGGGAGCCTGCTACTGATGCATGTGCATCCTGGATCAGTTCCACAAGGATTGCAAAGCAATCAGCATCATGGAAGTGAGACTTCATGATGACCTTCCCATTGGTTGTCTTGACTGTGTTCTGGAGGACAGCATAGATCCATCGGTTCATCCGTAGGAGTTCTGCAAAGTACTCGGCAGTCATGGGAACATATTCAGTGTCGAAGACCTTGTAGAAGCCTTGTGCTCTGGCTATGACGATGAAAGCCTCATACCAAGTGTCGAACTCCTTGTTGGATCTAAGAGTAGGGTAGGCTGTGGCATCTGCCTTGGCACGGAAATACCTGCCTTCCGGTTCTGGATTGCCACCGCCTCCACCTCCTCCAGGACATGGATCACAATAAGTTTCTGGAAGGATCAGTTCCAATACTCAAGTAGTGGACTGGGGCTCGCTGAAACCCTTCCTCAGGGACAGCGGTAGTCAGGCAGTTCAGGGAGCCTTGTCGTGCCTCAGGAGTATTCCAACACCTCCAGTAGGCACCAAACCAAGGACTTGGTCCTGTCAGTCAGACAGGAGGGCCAGCAGAGCTCTCTGCTGGACCCTTGGGGCCAGCTCTCCTCAGGAGCTGGGGGCCTTCGTTATTCAATCGTGCAGTGGCAGTCTGGGAACAGTACTATCTGCTACCTCCTACTGCTTCTGCCCGGCCTCAACAGGATTGGTATCAACTGCTGCGGTATCAAAGGGGCTACAAGCTAATCGGGATCGGTCTCAATCTTTCGTACTATTTTCTTAACTATAATGGAAAGGACGATCCTTTCTTGCTGCTTTGGCTGGAGATAAGCCAGCTGCGGGTGCTGGAGCTGTAGGCCAGCATAGCTGTTGGAGCTATCTCTGACGGGATCCAGAGCTCTCGCTCCTAAAAGTTATCGCTCCCCACGAGTGCGTATGGATCCGCTCTCATGGGAATGCCACGATATACGATTAGTTACTAACTAACTACAATACATACTCTCCCCATGAACGGAACATTCATGGGCCACTCAGCATCGGCTGCTAGTGGAACACAAGGTGAGATTGGAGATCTCACAAGTGGAGGGACTTGCATGGTTGGTCGGTTGCTGGACCAAAGGTAGGCGCAAATGGATTGCGTGCTCATCAGCATGGCCAGACTCGGTAGGTGCCGGCGGTGCTGGTTGCTATCATAGCTGTTGTTTGTTTTCTTCATATGTAGACAAATATTCGTGGCTTTGCCACAGGCCGAATTCAGCGGTGGCAAGCTCTCAGTGGAGCGGCCTTCTTGCCCCGCAATCATGTCCCTTGATGGATGGGATGGATGGGCTGTACCAGACAGGGACGTAGTCTAGTTGCCCGTCCGAAAATCCAGGGGCGTCACCGGGATTGGTCCATTGCCATGCACTAAAGCCATAGCAGCCAGCTCTGGGGTAGAAAGCATGGTGGCGGTCAGCTTCTGTGAAGGTGACACCATGGCAGTCAGCTCCTGGGTAGGAGACACCAAAGTTGCCTTGGTCAAAGGTGCTTGTTGTGGTTGCTCCCCATGGATTCCACCAAGAGCAGAGGGTGTCTGCTTGGTGGGCCTCCTGGCAGATGGACTGGTGATGGTTGGACCAAGGCTGGTCCTATCCAAAGACGATGGCACCTCATTGGGTACGAGTCTTATGGCATTGGCTGTGCCATAGGTTGGTGGTTCTGTGGGAACCAGGCTGGGAACCTTGGGTGTCACTGTGGGTGATGGACCACTAGGTCTCCTGCTAATGTTGGTTGTGGTGGGACCCTTGTGTGCTTTGTGCCTTGGAGCAGGTTGCTTGGGGGTTACCACTGTGTGGGTCTGCTCTTGTGCTCTTGGTTGTAGAGCTGACTGAGTGGGAGCCACACTTGGTCTATTTGGTTGTGCAACTGGAATGTTGTTGGCGCCAGCTCTGGAAGCTGGTTGCTTGCTGGCTGGAGGTTTTGCCATCATGATCTCCCCAGAGGTTGGATGACTACTAGGGCTGGCAAGCTCGATAATCTCCCCATCATCCAACGATGGGTGGGCACCAGCGAGGGCATTCAAGGGTGTGGCACTGGGCAGCTGGTGGCTCGTAGCTGGGACACGCAGGGGTCGTGTGACAGGCAACTCCCCACAAGCTAGCTTGGGAGATGGAGCCGTGGCCACATTGGTGGGCAGCTGGTTGGTGGCCAAGAGGGCATCAGTCAATCGTTGCTGGATGGCAGTGGCCTCTTGCTTGGAACGAGTAGCCCTGTGGCGCCGCTGCTTCTTTGGGCTGTGGAGCGGTTGGGTACCAATAGCACTGTCACCAGTCGGCTTGTGGACGACATCAGCACTGCCCATGGCTGACAGTGGAGTGGCATTGGTCGGCTGGTGGTGGGCCGCTGTAAGGGGCAAAGGACGAGTGCCTGGCGGCTCCCCATAAGCTGGCTGGGAAACTGCCTGGTGGTTGGGGTGCCTGGTCCAGGAGGAGGCTACATTCTGCCTGTGCTGCCTGGCCCTGTAGTCGCTACCGGTAGCTGCTTGCTGCCTGTGTTGTTCCATCGGTCCTCTAGCCCTGCTGTAGGCCATCATGCGTCTAGCCACATCAGTCAAGTCAAAATTGAGCGACCGGATCTCCCACAGGAGAGTGTCTTTTGCCATCCCATGTCTTGAGTTGGATGGTGACATTGTTGCTATTGGTTGGAAGCCACCTATGGCCTCTGCCATTGCATAGGCTGTTGGTGTAGCAATTGGCTTGGGAACAGGTGATGCCGGTGCCTTGTCAAGGATTGCAAAGATGGATTGGTGCTGGCACGGGCATCGGTCTGAGTAGTGGCACCAGCATTGGTCGGTGTAGCTAGACATTGTGCCTCTTGTTGTCTGTCACAGGAAGAGGTGTATCTGCTGTACCGGTGGAAGCACTGGTTTTCAGCTCTTGTAGCAGTAGAATAAGGCTGACTCAACTGTACTTTGGAAACCACAAAGGATACTTCCAGGGATCTTGGTATGGGGCTAGGGAATTCAAGTGGGTGGTAATTGAATAAGGTAGACCAGGTACAAGGGCTGGGACCTGTTTCCTGTGTTGCCGTGGCGCTGCAAACTTGCTTGGATTTGTGAGATTTTGCCACTGTGAAGCTAGCTTGTTGGGACCAATGAATCTCCCCACAAAAGCTCCTAGAATTCAAGGTGAGCAACCCACTGACTAAACAAAGGATGGCGGATGCACTGGTAACAATATCAGCCAAGCGAATTGACCTCTTGGTTGCCTCGAGACGCTCCGAGTTACGCCTTTCGTGGATATTAGGTGGCTCCGTGAGGAAAATCGCGATTTCACGATTTTCAATGACTCGACCACGTAAAACCTTTAAAATGTGAGCGCAAAGCGATTACCGTGGCTGAGCCTGCTTTCAGAACGGAGAACTTGGACGTTTAAGCGCAAAACCGGTACCGGAAGCTCTCGGATCGGTACGGAAGCGTTTCGGTCGTGCTAAACTGACTCAGTGCACTCGCAATAAGTACCGTATCAATCTGGTGAAGTGCGAAAACTGCACGGACGTTTTGATTGGCTGAGCGTCTTCCGTGAAAGCTTCTAAAGCGTTCCGTGGAATCCCTGAAACAATACAGGACAGAAACTCGTGACCCTCGAAAACTGCACGGGCGACTGCAAAGAGATATACCGTACACTGCAATAAGCCACGTAAAGCGCTGAAAGCGATATGCCCGTATCGAAAGAGATATGCCAAGTTCCTTCTGGCGTAAACGTATTGCGCGATGTCCAAGATAGGTGCGAAATCAATAAGTCTTTCGTTGACTCGGGGACTCTGTTCCTTCACGGTAACCGCTTTTGTTTCTTTCTTTCGAGTGAATTGGGCTCCTTTTTCGTGTCAACAGGAACTGGCTATCGGCAATGAGGTCCTTGTCAAGTTGGTTGATATCTAGGTCCTTTTTCAAGGCAATGATGATGGTGTTGGCCTTGTAGTTGTATTGGTAGATGGTCAACAAGAAGGTTCCTGTCACTGTGGTGGTGGCTGGAACTATCCAAATTGACCAAAAGGTTGTTGACTTAGGACTTCAAAGGAGCCTTGAAATCCAGTTGTCAAATCCAATGAAGCCAACTGTAACTGTAGTGTAGCACTGATTGTTGTAATGCGGACAGCTCCTTGTCGGCCTCGACACTCTCCTTCCCTTAAAACTGCCTGAATTCTATGCTGACTGTTAATCCAATAAGTTTCTGGAAGGATCAGTTCCAATACTCAAGTAGTGGACTGGGGCTCGCTGAAACCCTTCCTCAGGGACAGCGGTAGTCAGGCAGTTCAGGGAGCCTTGTCGTGCCTCAGGAGTATTCCAACACCTCCAGTAGGCACCAAACCAAGGACTTGGTCCTGTCAGTCAGACAGGAGGGCCAGCAGAGCTCTCTGCTGGACCCTTTGGGCCAGCTCTCCTCAGGAGCTGGGGGCCTTCGTTATTCATCGTGCAGTGCAGTCTGGAACAGTACTATCTGCTACCTCCTACTGCTTTCTGCCCGGCCTCAACAGGATTGGTATCAACTGCTGCGGTATCAAAGGGGCTACAAGCTAATCAGGATCGGTCTCAATCTTTCGTACTATTTTCTTAACTATAATGGAAAGGACGATCCTTTCTTGCTGCTTTGCTGGAGATAAGCCAGCTGCGGGTGCTGGAGCTGTAGGCCAGCATAGCTGTTGGAGCTATCTCTGACGGGATCCAGAGCTCTCGCTCCTAAAAGTTATCGGATTTCAGTGCCATCAGGATCTCCTTGGCCACCATTGTCATTACCTTGTGGATTGCCACCAAAGCAGTCTGGATTTCCTGAACCAACAGACCTGCTACATTGTTGGGACTGCTTCCCTGCATCTTTTCATGGGAGACATGCCATGCATGTTGGAGAAGATGGATTGCTTCACCTGTGGTTGTGGCCATTGGCTCCCCAGAGGATGGGAATGGAGTTCTCTTTGACTGCTCCTCCAGAGGCACAAAAGGTTGGCTG